CGGTTGCTCGCCCTCCCTCGGGCGAAAAGCAGGAGCGGGCTTTCGGGGCTGTGCGCGGCACCGGGAAGCGAGCGCAGGAGGGAGCTCGGGCTGGGCTGAGCAGGGGGCCCAGGCAGCTAGAGCTCACCCCGCCCCTCGCTCAGCATGGCTGGGGTGGGGGGAGCGTCCAGCCGGCAGGCACTGGAGGAGCCCCTCGTCCTCCAGGACCTCGGTGCCAGCCGACAGCTGCAGCCCAGACAGGAGAAAGGAGGAAGGGGGGGAAGGACAGAGACAAAAGGGTAAGGGAGGAGGAGAGAAAGGGAGGGCAAGTTACCTCTGTGTTAACCCCATCGCCCACAGCTCCTGGGGGCAGCAGCTAGCTCTGCACCCTCAGAGAGAGCAGGAGCTCGTGCTCCAGGCAGACGCTGTCCTTTCCCAAGGCATCAAGGAGGCCAAGGTACAGCACGCTGACCCCGGCGGGGAAGGCTGCTACGAGGCTCAGACACACAGCCCCACGGACTCCCCGCAGGCACCTCCAGGCCTCCAACTGGAGCTGTGAGCACAGCGCAAGCCAGTCTCTGGTGCACCTCCGTCCCCCCAACGACGCGGCCGTTACCTGGCAGGTAGACGTCCACCGGCGGGTCGCTCTCCGACTGCGTCAAGCTCCTGTGCTCGCTGCAGCTGCCGTCCTGCAGGACGTCTTCGACAGAGGGAGGACGGCTACCTAGAATCAGCGGAGAGCACAGCCCATGAGTCCCAAGACCGACTCTTTGCAGGGGCACACAGCACTGATAACAGGTTGAGATCTTCCACGCGAGGAAGCTCCCAGAGCCCCCAGCCTTGCAGAGGTCTAGGGAGAGCCTGTCAGACTGGCCCAGCTCACAGCACCAAAGGGCACCTTTTCTTATCCGGGGTCACACCCCAAAACCCACCCAGGGCTCCCCTCTCACCCCACCTTCACGCCCTCTGGACGCTAAGTGCCAGAGACCCATCTCAATGACACAAGGCACATCCTGCATGCCCAGGACACCATCTCACCAGGGCCACACTAGTGCGCGCGTGGCCAACACCCGCTGGGTAGCACAGGGCATGGGTTGGCCAGGGGACAGACAACACTGTCCCAGGAGAAGCTGGATCCACAGCCTGACGCTGCTCTCCTGCCATATGACCCATGGTGCTGATGGTGGTGCACTGTATGAGCAGCTGTATGAGCAACCAGGTGTGGGCTTTCCAGCAGAGTTGCAACTCCCCAGGCTCCAGACTCTGAGGTTTCGCCTGGCAACACCCAAAGGTAACTGCTCTCCCCCCCGGTCCCTGCGCAAAGTCTAAGCATGGAAACATGGTCAACGGGGAGGACAGGAACCCAGCCCTACTAGCCCAAATACAGCTACTTGTGCAGAGCTTACAGCAAGGATTGATGCTGACAAAGAAACCAGGCAGATCTATTGAGTTTGCTTCCCAAGAGAGACCCTGGCAACTTTCTCCGGTGAAACGCGGCAGCTCAGAGAGGTAGATTTCAGGACCCGGATGTTTCTGAACTTGTATGTCCATCCCCCTACCGTCTCCTTCCCCAATGTAGCGGAGCCGGAGATCAAGCCAAGGCCTGGTCATCTCCAAGGCCAAGCGCACGCTCACCTTGCTGCAGGGACGAGGCCTCCTCGATCTCTTCCCCTGCCATGCTCTGTAAGGAGGAAGAGCACAGGTTACTCCTGCGGGCTGGAGGCCTTTGCTGGGCTTGTCTTCTACGCTAGCGTTCTCCAGAGAGCTGCACGCAGGGCCAGGGACTCGCTTCAGGCAGGGGACAAGGGGCCCCAGCATTAACGCTGCAGCACTGCAGCCCAGGACTTGTCAGGTTTTGCAACCCTGACATGCACCGGCAGCAGCCCAACAGCTCTCTAACATCCCCACTTCCCAAAGACCTGTTAAACACATCAGGAGCGGATGTGTCCTTACACCATGGAGCCCACGGACACAGAGCAGCTCCCTGGCAGGGTGCAGACTTACCTCTGGAGAGCTGGTCTCCCTCAGGACCAGCTCACCCCCGCTCAGCACGGGCTGCGAGTCGGAGTCCTCGGAGAGCTTCTCTTCATCCTCCTCGTGGATGGGCGATGAGGGAGACCGTAGTGTGCTGAGGCGAGAGAGACTCCCTTTGCAAGCGGAGCGCAGGCCGCCTGCCCCCACCACCCCAGGCCTTGGCAGCCTCGGTGGCAGCGATTCGAGCTGTCACCACCCCTGCTCTGTCCCTCTGCCCAGCCCATCCTCCGCCAGCAGCATAAGCCAACACCCAGGACCAGGAGCTCAAACTGTTGAACTAAATTCACCAGAGGCCTCCAGTACCCGCTGCACTGAGAACAGCAGCATTTCTGGGGCAGAGCAGAGGTGCCCTTCCCAGGGGGGAATTTGGAGCACATCATCTTGGAGCAGACACGGACCTCCCTTCAAAACTACGCTGGCAGTCCGCGTGTTGGTGGCTAGTGGCACAGGGGCAGGCCCTGAGCCCCACACCACACGCTAAGCGCAGACACCCTGCCAGGGGCCAGCGCAGCCAGGAAGGGCTGCCCAACCCACAGCTTCTTGCAGACGGCCGCAAGGAGAAGGGCGATCCCAACATCTCAGGGATGCAGTCGGGAGTCACTGCTGTCTCTCAATGTGTTTAACAGCATTTCGAGAACAGCTCTGAATCCAGGTCCGTACCGAAGCGATGCTGAGGCAATTGTGGTGCTTGTCTTACGGCCTTTTTCCCCCTTCTTCCCACAACTCATGAATCTTTCTCTTTTTCAGATCTTTGGCTCCAGTTGGGCTCAGGGCTACAAAGTGCTTACAACTTCTACGTGGGAAGACCGTGATCCTGTGCCTTCTGGGGCAGCAACCTGCTCCACCTCAGCCCCAGCATGTTCCCACAGCCAAACCAGCGAACAAGGCTGGTGAAGGCAAGTTGGGCCTGAGGAAGAAGAGCCCATGGACATCATGGAGGGATACAGGACAGGCAGTCCTGGTTCTCACCTCAACCGTGGCAGAAGGCATTAGGAAGCACCAGTTTCCTGGCTGCACTAAGCTTCCTACATATCACCATCGGGTTCTCCTGATGCCCCTTTCACTCTAGCCAGAACAAGGCTGCAAACTTCAGCCACCTGGGGCACTGCTGAGCTCTGGGGTGGACTTCTCCCAGCAAGCAATGACCTGCTGTTGATAAGGAGGTGACAAAACTTAATCAGCAGCTGGAGCACAGTGAGGAGAACCAGAAACAAACCCAGTTTGATCCGGCTCTGCTTTTCTGTGTGGCCTTGCAAGAGTTACATAAAGGGTTACTCACCCCACAGGATCTACATCCTCCACCACAAAGCCAACAGAGGAGGCCTCTGACAGCAACTAAAAGGTCTCATTCAGCACTTTGCACTCTGAATTTCAGGTCACTTCTCTCCCCATCCTTTTGTTCCTTGGGAACTCCACAGAAAGTTGAAATCCAACACGGTTTGGATATCAAACGCAAATTGAGACACTAATTGCATAGGAAAGGTAGAGATTTCCAGACAGAGTCCAGGTGAAATCTCCCTGTTCAAAATGCTCTTTCCTTCGATGACAAACCCAGCTCTTAGGAGAAATGAGTTCAGCCCTAGGCTGAACACAGGGGTGGTGTCCCAATCCTGTCACTGGCACGAGGACCTGCTGGCCTCCCACCATTACAAGTTAGCAGTGCCACCAACGATGAGAGCAGCCAGAGCCAGAGCCCTCTCTCATCTCCCAGTGCGTGCAGCCACAAGCCCTCAGGGCTCGCGAGGGGAGCAGGCCCATCTGTTCCCATGCTAACCTATCTGGAGACTTGCTCCGCTTGCCCTTTTGGTGGCTGCTCTCCACGGCTCTGTCCATCCCAACAAGCGGCCGGCTTGCAGGGGGCATCCCATCCACCACGCCAGAGTAGTTGATCTCTTCATACAGAGGAGCTGACGGGATGGAGGGGGAAACAGAGCGAAGGCCGTTCAGAGCTTCCAGCAAGGAAATGGGCTCGTACCCTGGAGGGATGTTGTCAGAGCTCTGTGGGTGAGAAAGAGAGGGGCACGTTAAGAAACCCTCGCCAGGCTGGAAACTCCCTGAAAAGGAGAGACCCACCTGCAACCCAGCCCTGCACCTCCCGCCTTGCACATCCAGGCAGCCCATCACCACAGCCACCTCTCCATGGAGAGCCTCTGCCTCCTTCCTCTGCAACAGCCACCCGTTGCCATTCGCGCTGTAACGCTGATGCTCCAGGCAAGTTTCCAGAGCAGCACTCGAGAGACCGAGCCCCTCAGGGAGCTGGGCACCCTGCCTGTCAAACTCAGGAGCTCTCTGGAGAACCAGGCAAGGAGGGTTAAAAAGCAGGCTCCTAACAAAGCTGTTGTGAATTATGCTTTAATCTCCTGCACAAAGTTCCTCCAATGGCTTGGAGACGCTTCTAGGATAACAAGCACCCCGCTTCTGCCTCCAGCCCAGCGCGTGCAGCAGTTTCACAGCACTGCCAGAGGGTCTCCAAGGAGCTCAGTACGCGTGTGCCACAGGAGAGGCCTTCAGTGCTTACAGCCCTTCACTTCTCCCACAGACTGTTTCCTCAGCTGCTTAGGCAGGCTTTCCACCCAGCAGCCTTTGCAGAAAGACAGCAAAGGGACCACAGAACCACTGACCCCATAGGGAGGGGGCCAAAACCCTGCACTACCTCCCGTTCCTCCTGTAATTCACTTAGGCGCCAGTCCAACACTTCCAAGGCCATTAAACCAACACTCGTTTAACTCCAAAAATCCTCTGATCATAAGGCCAAAAAACTTAGAGGCAAATGGGATTTATGTTGCTGCTGCGTAGGCAATGGGCAGCTCAGCCCAGCCTGCTGCAAACGAAGAGGCAAGACTGCCGCAGCCCAGACTTAGATTAACGTAACCTGTCCCAGCAGCGCATCCCTAGGGAGGCTGTTCCACATTGTATCTAAATCTAAGGTGGTGGGACTGCGTGTTGCTGCTGGGCTTGGCCACGAAATCCTGTGGCTTCTTTGTGTCGGCTCTCACCATGGCATGGCTGCAGGTGAGCCTGCTCAGCAGCCTGTTCTGACCCAGCCATTAACTTGGGGGAGGGGGGGGGAGTTGAGTGCTGAACTGACTCACTTGTGCTCACAAGCACTACGTCTGACAGGGGAGGAGGAACGAACGAGTGGACGGCTGGGGCCAAGCATCAACCCACACTCCTCCAAGTAATGGCCTTGTGGCACTTAAGTGCTTGTGCTGAAGACCATAGCTGGGGCCTGCAAGATAACCAAGTCAGATGAACAAGGAATCAGTTCACAATTCCTGCCACCTGTAGGTGTCGGGTGCAAGAACTACCTCCACAGAGGCGGCAGCACGGAGAAGCTGTTTTGTGGACAGAAAAGTCAGGCTCACAGTTGGTACATTGTCTCCTGGCCGCAAAGACCGAGGCTCGAGGGTTCAAAGGCTGCTCGTTCCAGTTTGCTTTGGCAACAGCTCAGGTTCTGCGGCATGGCTCAAAGGCTGGAGAAGGATCTCTCAGCCACCAGCTAGAGCACTCATCATGCTGAAAGCTACTGAAGCTTTCAAACAGCCCTAGAGACACTAGAGACCCTGCTCTTTGCTGCGACACTTACCATTGCCCCATCCCTGGAGCCCACTGCTCCAGCAGTACTGCTAGCTGCTGGCTGAGGCTTGCAGAGAGCCACACCAAGCTTGCAGGGTCCCTGTTATCCTCAGCCTTAGCTTTTCTCCAGACCTGACAAGTGCAGTAAGCTATGTCCCTCCTCAGCCCAAGCATCCAGGCTGGCTGGAGCAAAAGGAAACTGCAGCCTCCTTAATACAGATGACAACTGTAACTGCAGGTGATGGACTACACCAAGGGGGTGCAAACAGACCCTTCCTGGCACATGTGCCTCCCTTGCCTTTTATCTTCCTTTCTTCTGGTCCCCCACATTGCCATTCATGCTGTCCCCTAAGCGCAGTTACAGTTAACACCCTCTCTTGCCAATTTGGCGAGTCCCCAACACACAAGCTCCATCTTTACTGTTCCTGTACAAGCAAAACAGCTTTGCAAACAGCGTTCCTGATGCAAGACAGACCTGGTCCAGCCTTGTCCATCATCTACCTCTACGTCCCAGCACAAGGGTGGAAACCACAGCGAGAAGTGCCCAAGCCAAATCGCCAACGGGATGTGACAAGCGTGGGAGAGCTTTGGGTGAGCCATGGGGACACCACATTACTCACAGTCCTACAAAGCTATGAAAATATCTTGGCCAGAAACAACATAGCAGCGAGGCTCAGCGCCAAGGGGCTCCGATATATGTCTGGGCCCGGCAGTCCTGACGAGGCAACATCAGACCGCTGCGGCGAGCTGTTTCCGTCTCGCCTATTCCTCCACACGCAAGCCGAGGAGGTTAGTGATCGTCCGTGCAGGCCGTGAGCGTCTCACCACTACGTGGAGACTACTTGGAGTGTTGCAGCCCGTGCAGGGGCATGTGTCAAACCCAGCGTGTTAGCAAGCCCTCACGTGTACAACACTTCTACGTGCTAGTGAGACTGCTGGCAAATAATTGCCATAGGAGCCAAATACAACTAAGTCCACTTACTGTTTCCCTTCTAGGTTTCCTGCTGGGCAGGGAGACAGTGTTCGCTTTAGTGGGCTTAAAGGGACACTGTCAAGAGAAAATCATGTTTTAAACAAAGGTTTTTTTGAGGTTAGTAACATGGAAAGACACACAGCATCTCCTTGCCTCGCTCTGGGAGATGGCACCTGCTTCCTCTTCGTACCACGCTCTGCTTGAAAACAACCCTTGGGGTCTCTCTCCTGCCCTGTGTCTTAGCCCCCGCTGGAGTAGCAGGGTTACAGGGCTGCAAAGGATGGGTGGATAAAAACAGGCTCTTTCTGGGATGACCCCTTTCTGCTCCCATCAAAGCCTGTAAGATGGTCCAGACGCAGCGCTCCCTCTCCTCGCCTGGATCTCGCGTGCCTTGCCAGAGCCGGCTGTGCCACAGTGCTGCCGGGCAGCGAGGTCCTGCCCGCAGCGCACTGGGGACACGTGGCTCAGCCCCGAGGCCGAGGGCGCTGCACTTGCCATCCCACGCTCTCTCAGCTGCTCACTGAGCCCCCGATCGCCCAGGAGGACCGGCACAAAGAGGCCTTTCTGCTGCCACACTGGGAACCCCAATGCCAAGGGCATTTCAGAGTGTGCTGCCATGCAAATTTGAATGCAAGTCAAACTGTAATCTGCCATCTGCCCAGCTCCCACCCTGCCAGGCCCAGAGTTTGCCACTTTCTACTGGGACAGGCCCTGAGAAACCTTCCCATATGAGGTTTCTGTGGAGTTGTTTTCTCCCACTGGAAGGAGGGTACTTGGCTAAAAACAGCCAAAATAATCATTCACGAAAGGAGAGGTCCCGGCGCTCTCTGAGGTCCCAGGGACGTGGGCCGATAGGCCAAGAGACTCATGAGCGCAACTCTCCTGTGCAGGCCGAGATCAGTGCTCAGGCCCCAGGCTTCCTGCGCGAGGTGGCAAATTACTTACAGAGTGCTCATCATGGTCAACAGTCTGTGCCAAGACAGGGCTGAACGACACCGGCGACAGAGCCCCGGGCTTTTTCCTCACAGCTCGGATCTGCAGCAGGGCGCGGAAGGCTAGGAGAGAAAAGCACGCAGGTGACTACACGGCCAAATGGGACGAAGTCATGCCACCTGGGTGCTGGAGCATCTTGGCCAGCGACTTGCCGTGGATGAGTCGGTGGGGTGAGTTCCCTGCCCTAATACAGTCATGTGGAGAGGACTTTCAGGCCTAGGGCTTACTCAATACATTAAGAGGAGCCACAAGCTTGGTCTCAGGCAGCACACTGCAAGCTACAGGATGGGGGGAGCGTCAGGTAAAACCACTCCAGGCCTTGGGTTCGTTCAGGCCCCTCCAGTCTCAGCTAGAGCTGGGCGTCCTCTCAGGATCGTGCCTCCATCAGCTGCTTGCTCTCTGGCCAGTACCACGCTGGTGAGAGCGTCTGCAGCAACTCCTAACCCAGCCAGGTTAACGACTAACCTCCTCTCTCCAGGAAAGCAATCCCCTGTCCTCCCACCAAAACAGCTCTGATCTCCACTCCCCGCCTGCAACCCTGTTCTCTATCTGCAGATATTTAATATCGTTACTTCCCTCTGTGCTAAAGACACACACAAACCAGCCAGACATTTGTTCTGATACAGCTGTAAGAACGTGCTGCTTGTATGTAAGGAAAAACCCGGGCATTTCTGTTTCTTAATGCACCCAGCTGGTTGCAAGATCAGCCTAGAGCCAGGGGAGAGAGGCACAGATCTGTTCTTGCTGCTTCTGCACTTCCCAGGAGCAGATTCCCAGGAAGCCTGATGTGGGGGCACTTTCCAAACAAATACGACTTACTCCACCGCAGCATACAGATGAGATAACGCCGCTCCTGTTTTCAGTTGTGCTACTTGTAGTCAAAGCTGTCTGGCACTTCCCCGATAAGATCTTGCTTTCAGTTATTGTATCTTTGCCAAATTTTGACTGTTTAGACTTAATTTCTCAGGCCAAACTCCTGCCTTAGGCTCTTTATTTTCCTAAAAAGCTTCAATAAGAAATATTCAAATACTTCGGAGCTCAAGCATAGGGTAAAATGTGTGATTTGTCCATTCCAACAAAAACGCAGGCATTTTCTTGAGAGACTCTGTGCTTTGGAGAAAAGACCTGAAACTCAACAAGCGTTGCCCGAGAGAGGTGCCCCGTAAGAAGGAGTATTTGTTTTTTCCCATGTCTTAGGAGCAGGGGAATGCAAGGGTTACACAGATCCTCATAACCTTCCCGGCAGGCAGACTTTCCCCTTGAAGAGGGAAGACGATGAGGGCTGTGCACTCAATGCCCACCCCTGCTGGCCCCCAAACAGCAGAAAGGCAGAGGGACCAGACTGACCAACACGCAAAAGGGAAAGACAGGAGCTGGCAATGGCTTGCAAGGAATAAGGAAAGAGGGACTGGAGATAGGTGCGTCTAACGGACCCACAGAAGAGGTCTGAGGTTTCCATCGGTTTTGTTTTAAAGCACTGCTACGCCACACCTTCCTCTTCCATCAGAGCTGGTCCCGGGAGGCCGGATCACCACGCTCCTCGCAGTAGATAGAGAACTCAAAACCCACTGGCAAGGCATCCTCTTGCTCCAGACAGCGAGGGCCAAACGCAAGAGCTGTTTAGATGGCACTGCTCAGAGCACCTGCGCCCCAGATCCATCCTAGGGAGAGGGCAAACGGCCAGGGAAGCACAGGGCAGAAAGCCACTCTGCCATGCGCTCTTCCTGCCCTGTTTGAGGACAGTTATTTTAGGCACCAGGAGCCTCCAGACATCAGTCAGAGCAGTAGCACATTTGATGCTGAGCCTTGGGGTGGGGTATATAAAATACATGCTCACTCTCACAACCTGTACTGACTTAACAGGCGCCTGGGAGGAAGAAAGAAGCCCTTTTTTCCTGGGCACATACTCACGCAGCCTGCAGATGGGGCAGTTGTTGGCCTGGTAGCGCAGGGTGTCCGCACAGGAGTTGCACAGACAGAGGTGTCTGCAGGGCAGAATGAGGGTGTCGCGGAGGTCCGAGAGGCAAACCACACACTCATTGCTGTTGTCGCTGTTCTCGTCATCCGAAGGCTGCAACGAGAGGCAAGACTTTGGCATGCGAATAGGAAGGGCCATGCAGAACGGCCAGAGGACTCTGGAGCCTGAGATTTCCCACCCAAAGGTCTGCAGGAGAGTCAGCACCCTCTATTTGCAGCTCTCAGCAGGGGTTTCTCAAGGAGAGCACGCTCCAGCCTACACCACCCTGCTATGGATGCTCCTTCCTCCCGTGGCAGAGGGAGGCACTCCCAGTTTCTACAGCCCCTCTGAACCCACGATGGAGTGGGCAATTCTGCTACCACCCTGTCGTCACCCCGCTCTTGTGCGGGCACAAGCTTTGATGCAGTCACGGGAAAACCAGCCTGGGATGCTCACCCGATCACAGCTAACCTTGGCAAAAAGGTCAGTCTGAACCCATTCAATGGCATCACACTACTCTTCCCACCGCTCAGAGCCCCACAAATTGGATTAGAGCTACTCAGTGAGCTATTGCTGGGAGAAGAACTTGCTCATGAAGTTCAATAAAGGGAAGTGCCGAGTCTTGCACCTAAGGGGGAATAACCCCAGGCACCAGTACGGGCTAGGGCTGATGTGCTGAAAAGCTCTGCAGAGAAGGATCTGGGGGTCCTGGTGGACCCAATGGTATCCTGGGCTGCATTAGGAAGAGTGTTGCCAGCAGGTCACAGGAGGTGATCCTTCCTCTCTGCTCAGCCCTGGTGAGGTCGCACCAGGAGTGCTGTGCCCAGTTCTGGGCTCCTCAGTAGAAGACAGATACGAAGCTACTGGAGCGAGTCCAGCAAAGGACTACTAAAATGATTAAGGGACTGGAGCATCTCTCATATGAGGAAAAGCTGAGAGAGCTGGGACTGTTGAGCCTGGAAAAGAGAAAACTGAGAGGGAATCTTATCAATGTGTATAAATATCTGAAGTGAGGGTGAAAAGAGGACGGGGCCAGACTCTTTTCAGCGGTGCCCAGTGACAGGATGAGAAGCAGCAGGCACAAATTGACCCACAAGGCACTCCAGCTGAATCCAAGGAAAATTTTTTTCCTGTGAGGGTAACTGAGCACTGGAACAGGTTTCCCAAATAGGCTGTGTAGTCTCCTTCCTTGGAGATATTCAAAAACTGCCTGGAGAGGGTCCTGAGCAACCTACTGTAGGTGACTCTGCTGGAGCAGGGTGCTTGGACTAGATAATCTTTAAAGGTCCCTTTTAACCTCAACCATTCTGCGATTCTGGAAAACCCACCCTCCAACCAGGAGGACTCTTCACTGACATCAGGAATCCTTACAGTCCCACTGCCAATGCCACAAAAGTTATGCAGGAGCCCAGCAGTGGGCACCCTCCATCTCCATCTGTTCCCACCAGTTCTATTTCACAAGGTCCTTTCAGTGCCACAGGGGGAACTCATGCCATGCCAATGGCAACAGCGTAAACAGCAATATACAGCATCTGCTGCTGCCACGTCTGCACCCGGCCCACTAACCGTGCCAGTGAAAGGCTGCAAGCCTGCTTGCCCCATCACGTGCGCTCCTCATCTATTTTGGGAGGCAGGGAGGGCAGGCTTTTTGCTTTCCCATTCACATAGTTTACTAAGCATACTGGGAAGAACAAAAATGGCCCCGGGCCACTTGTCTGATGGGCTGCAATTAGGTGACTGCTGGATCAGAAGATTCATCACAAGACCCTGGAGGACCCAAAGAGAAGCCTTCAATCCTCTTAAGGGGATCTGGTGCAAGCTTTGAGAAGACTTCTCCTTCCTGTCCCTTCAGGTGCTACCTATTGATACAGGCACACAGAGATCACAGGGCTGCTTTGGGCAGGACACTGCACTGCTCGGAGACGAAGTGTGGTTTGTCTTGCTCTGTGACTGCTCCTCTGTTTGCAAATCACGCACTATATGTACAAGAGCAGTTTGATCCTGGGTCCAGCACTTGGTACACCGTGTCAAGCACTATGCAGCCCCACCAGCAACAAAGGGCAGCTCTAGATAAGACTAAAGCAGGCATGAGGCAGCCAGGCAATCTGCTTGAAGCCATGCAGCAAGCCAGGATTCAGCAGACGCTCCTGCCTAAAGATGGGCAGTGTTTCGAGTTAAGCCATTTTTCATGCGCACCCCTTGATGTTAGCAATGCTGTGCTCCCTCCTGCAGAGGAACATGGGCTGCTCTATGGATGCTGGCAAGCCTGGAGAGCTCAGCTCCTTGCAATGCTATGGGAACCTACAGTCCCCTGGTACAAAGCCCAGGAGAACGTGTAGGAAGCAGGAGCAAAGCACAGAGATCAGGCGTGATTGCCTTGACTGTGGAGAGGCAGTGAGATGGGCTGGGCACCAGAGGGAAGATTTCAGAGGCATTTGGGATGCAAGGCTCACTTACAATCAAGGGAGCAGGAGATACTCTCAGCTGTGCACACTGGGAGGCACCTAGACTGCACAGCAGTCCCAGGGCACCAAGAGCAGCAGCTGACACTAGCCCAGGACTGTCTCTACTAGCCCCAGAACACCTATGCGGCACTGATGTCCTTCTCTCCCTGACGTTGCGCTTAAAAGCGGAAGGTATTGGCTGGAAACCCACAGTTCAGGGAGTAGGAGCCTTCTGAGCACCTTTACCTTGGTCTCTTGGTTGTTTTTGTTCTCGATGCCGTAAATCTCCTGAAGCAGATAGCTCACCCGGTCAACCTAGGGAAGAAGACAACAAGTTAGAGTGCCAGCCGCTCTGGCATCGCCATTTCATGATTACGTCCCTCCTTGTATCAAAGTATGCACGTTACACCAAGGGCAGGTGGCTCCCATAGAGCTACGTGGCGGAGTTAACAGAAACAAACGTCGCAAAGGATGGCCAGGAGAACACATCCCTCTGCTCAAAAGCAGAGCCCATCCTGTCTGGTCTGAACAGGGAGCCCAACTGGCCACTTCAATTGCCTCACCTCAAGATCACCTCAAAAATAAGTACTCTTGCTTGTTTCAGAGATCAAGAAGAAACACATGCCCATAGCTCAAATGAGCCAGAGGCAATCAGCCTTCTACAGTCCCTTCCTTCTGCAAAGCATCACTTAACTTTAATCAGGCTGAATTTCCACCCATCTTTGTAACCTCAGGATAGGAGAGACTAGGCACAACCACCACCATTCCTGTGCCAACAGCTTGTTACTTACACGTTAATGGCTGTGCTACACTTCCCTATTCAATACTGAGGAGCATAACGCCAAACTAATGGGGCTAGGAAAACTATCTCCCAGACAAACAACTGTCCAAACCTCCCTTAACATGAGAAGCATCCAAGGGACAACGCTACACTAGCGCTGCGTCAGCTATTAACAAGACCTCCAGGCCCTTGGTGAAGTCTCTAAAATGGGGTCTCTGGTGGTGGAAAGCATTGCTGGGCAGAGATGGAAGCTGCTCACAGCCCGGACACTGACTGCACCCCTCCAAACCATATTTTTATGCAAACCTCAGTAGTTGCCTGCAAATTCCCTGGAGCAGCTGGATTAAAGCCTGGAGGCAAGAAAGGCTGCAGGTTCAGCTCCCAGTGGGGCAAATTCTTAGCTTCCTTTTTTGCACTAAGTGGTGTCTTCCATTGTCCCATAGCTTAGCTGGCAAGTGCAGCATGAGGCTCTCACAGCTGCAATGAGCAGCTCTACAGGGGTGCACAGAGCTATCGGTCCCCAAGATTTGCTGCTACATAGCAGCTTCCTCAGAAAAGGGGAGGCTTCTCCTCAAAAAAATCTTGGAACAGGTAAAATGGTGAAGGGGCTGCAAGGTACCACTCAAACTGACTCATCTCGTGATTAGGTCATCTGCAGCGCTTGTCCTTTTGACACCCTGCTGTGAAACCAAGCTACCGGGAACCCAGTGTTTCAACAGCTCATCAACTCCAGGAGTTCTGGCATTTCCATTTGTAAGTGGCCTCTCCCCTCTTCTGTCAAGCCAGGCGCTCAGAAGAGCAACAGCCATGCCATGGGATTTCAGTGCTGCGGGACATATCACACGCTGAGACAGGGGCAGAAGTTAGTTACATCCAGCCTGCTTGCCGGTTTAAAATGCTTAGAGTTGGGACACAGCAGCTTTAACAAACTCATTCCAGAGTCTCCTCATGTAAGGCAGCATGCAGCTTGCAGACAATCTGTTCTAGGCCCGCATTTCAAGGCGGTGAGGTCAGCAGTTAGACTGCTGAGCAAAACCCTCCGCAGGGTCTCACAAGCTGCCCAGGAAGTTTGGGAACAATTGTGTGGGAGCAGTGCTTTTAAAACCCAACATTTCAAAGAGCGCCTTGCTATGGCATCCTGACTCTGCAGAGGATCATGGTGTGTGGACAGTAAGCGCAGAAGTGGTCAGATCAGATCTCTGCAGAGTCTCGTGCTCCTTTTACTGCTTGCCTCTAAAAAACCCATGACAAGCTTGCGTTCCAATAAGAAATGGGTGAGCAGCGCAACACAGCTCTTGCTAGAAAGACCCACAGGTTTTAAAACAATAAGGGTAAACAAGATTGTACATAGTAGGGGATTGTACATAGTGCAGTCCTTCACCTTCATACTTCTCACCCATCCCGCACCATACCATTCATCAGCTGCTGCTTCTTGCTCACAAAGAGCTAAGAGATCGACACACACAGAAGTTGTCTAGGAATCCTGGAGGGTTACAACGGCAAGGAGGGAAAGGCAAAAGGAAAGGGAGTGACGGAGATGTGTTTACAATGTTATACAGATGGTTTACTCCAGACATATACTCTGTACCGCTGGTCTATGCTTTTAGGGGGCAGGTGCTATGTTAGCGTCAGTGGTACCGCGTGTTCTAGCAGGAGCTTACTTCTGTTTCAAAAGCCACAAAAGAAAATTTCTAAGCCTTAACATTTACAAAAGCCAAAGGAAAAAAAAAAAAAAAAAGAGAAAAGAAAAGAAAAACCCCACAACCAAACACTGAGTGGGAAGGTTACACACTCTGCCAGTAACGAAAGATGAGCACACATTGTTTCACTGTAGGAGTCAGCTAACTGTATTGTGGTAGGGTGGGAACCACCCTACAAAGCACTTCCAGCATGACAGTCCTCCACTTGGGAAGTCCAGAGTACTAAATGGAGAACCATACACGGATCATAGAGGTATGCACACTAACACTGATTCAAAGAGTTCACAGCCACGTAAGCACTGTCACATTAAACAAAAAAAAAAAAAGGCAAGAAAAACAAGTTACCTCTCGTCAGCTCACACATGCAACGTTTCTCTCTGATCAGAAGAAAAAGCGAAAAAGATACTACTGGCATCACAGCGCTCTGCTCCCTCGGGCAGCCTTCTCCAGTGCAGCACACCAGCTCTCTCTGCAGACCATGGCTCTTCTGGATGTTCCCATTCTGAATCCCTCGCACAATATCAGCTTTTTTGGAACAGTCTCTAGCTGTCTATATTAAAAATACTTGGGGGATCTAGACCTATCAGCTAGCCAGGAGATCATGCTGCAATATAGCCAAGTTCAGCACCGAGGAAGGGGGAGCCTAGGTAAAGCCGGAACACACAGGGCTCAGAACAGACATCAGGCTGGAGCAACAAGCAACTCGCCACGAGCACCAGGATAAAGCTCTGGCAGCAATGGCTGATTGCTTTCACAGGACACGAGCAGGACACGAAGGATGGGCTGTACTTCCCTCACAACCCCTGGG